ATGATATAAACCAGAGTACTAGCCTCTCAGTTCATCTTTATTTTTATATATCTTCCATCTCTTATTTGTATTTCTATTTATATAGCTGACTTCAGTTTAATGAAGTTTCTCTGCAGGAAATGCTTTAATGTCTATTGTAAGCCATAAATGAATATTTAAAACTGGAGTCAGGCAGCCTTGAAATTTGATTAAATAAACAAACAAACAAACAAACAAATAAAATATTTTGTCCTTCCTCTGTTTGTAATCCTTATTTTATGGTGCAATGAAAACTAATAATTTCAGTATGAAATATTTGGGAAGGCCTTAAAAACTTGTAATTTGAATGGTTCTAAATATAGTATTTCAAACTACTGAATACATATTTTTCGGAAAGCAAACTTACGAGTCATTTAGTAAAGACAAACATTTTGATCCAGGAAGGAGACTGTTCACATTCATTAGCAAAATATTTCCATTTTATTTAGGGGCCCACTCTTAGCAATATATTATGTTTATGGTTATCATCGCAGATGAGATTTATACAGATTTCTTAAACTGCTTTATTTGAATATTCTGAAAACCTCATGCTGTTATTTTCCTTTTAAAGGGTCATGGTTCCCTGTACGCCAGTATAGCTTACTACATGGAATTCATTCCAAAGTTTCTAGACCCCTCAGGGAATTACTGTTTCATATGATGCATCATTAGTTAAATATCTACATTTGTGGTTTTCAATCAACCTTCTCCCTGATTAAGAATTTATTTGGGGAATATTACTGATACTTATTAGTGCTGCCATTAACTACAAGAGCTTTACATGTTCCTGCATATTCTTTTATTTTCACAAGGCAGGATATTTTCCTATCTACATTTAACTTGAAAATAATTCCATGTAAAGTCAGGAGGATTTGCCTTATTGGTTGATATACATAAATAGTATGGATCTGATCTGATTTTTTAGATTAATAAAAAATTCCCTAAGTTTTCTTTTAAATAGTAAAAACTATTTTAATATAGCTTCAAATAGAGATTTTTTAAAGGTTTTTAAATTGCAATTTAATTGCAATTAAATTGCTCCCAAAAAGTACTTAAAATGATTGTCAACTGCTTCTTGTTGCCTGTCTTTTAAAATCATAGGGTTTGTATGACAGACCTATCTTAGTGGAATCATGCTTACCAACATGTAATTTCTCTACACAGTAAATTTATTTTAGTCAGTGCACACTTCAGAAAAATTTTCATTTTAAGTTAGGTAATTATTTCATAGTCAAAAAAAATAATTGAGAGACTTAATCTCATGAAGGTGATTGAATTGCTTTGTCACACTATGCTTTCCATCAGTCAAATATGGTCATTTGTATATCCTGTGAAAGTGGGAAAATGGGCTGAGATTTTTCAGCCTAACTACCAGCTCTTGCTTCTTTAAATCTCTGGATTTAAAATTACTGATGGTTTGATAAAAGCATGAACATGCCTTTTGGGCTAATTCAGTATACTGGAATTTTGAGAGCAGACTGTGAGTACTGTTACAGAATAACTACTATGGAAGAGGGCTTTGTTGTATCAACACTCAACATAGCCACTGCACAGGCTCTACTACACACCAGGATCCCCACTCCTGGTGGCAAAGACACATCTTTAAAGCCTTACAAAAGGCCAGTAGAGTCAAGGCCAATTTGATGTCCTGGGGATGATGGGGTCCAAAGGGCAGAACCCATGATAGAAAAGGCTCTCTTCCTAGTCCCTGTCAGATGGCATTCCCTAGTAGACAGGACCTGGAACATGCCTCTCCTGCCAGACTTAATGGAAGATGTAACGGGATAGAGGCAGTTCCTGAAATGAATGTGGAGGAACTTGACTGAGGCACGGCTGGAAACACTTAAGAAAAGATTCCCCCAGCCCCACCCTTTGTCATATGAAATGCGAAGCAGATCTTCAGGGGAAACTAGTTACAGTGTGTATCTAAGCTAGGAAAAGTAGTTGAGGTAAAAATTGCTCCTGAGTCTCTGCTTAAAGGTTGTAACTATGAGGAATTCAAGGGAACAAAAAGGGTTCTGGTTTTTTTTTTTCCTGAACCGCCTTTATCTCTAAGGTATTGGTAACATTTTAGCCAAGAATCTGTGATGAGATCTTTGATTTGCTTTGAAGTGTGTGCTGGTTACAGTATTTGTCTACAATAACTATTATATCTGAAGTTTATTGTAATTGTGGAAGCTCAGTTATTATAGGCTCTTTGAGCATCAGGACAGACCCAGTTTGGATCTGTCCCATGGCTTCTTCTTTATAGCTTTTATGGGAGATTCTTTTAAGAACATGTCTATTATTTTATTATCACTATTTTCCCATTACTGCTTTTTTTCTATGTGAATACCTCAATTTAAAAAGGTTTACATTTTCTTATTTTTAATTAAGTTGCTTTTGAATTATACTTTTGAATTATGCTTTTGATCCAACACCCAAGGAGGGAGTTATTTTCCCTAGCAGTCATTTTCAAGGTTAGAAGGCTGAAGAAGTATTACTATATAATTTATTCCATCTTCAGCATCTTTCTCCCTTTGTACTAGCAAGTAAGGCCATAGATTGTGGAGATCATATCTATCTCGCACATCATGACTAAGGGGCAAGGGCATTCTCCAAGAAGATGGGTGGAAACAGTGTAATTATCAAGTATCTACCACTAGGCAGGAAAAATGAATTTCTGGTGGAGGAGGTTTAAGACATTTTTCACCCTACAAGTTCAGTCTTGCCAGTACCATAAGAAATGGAAGAAATAAATTCAGAGCCTAGTGTAAGAATGAAATCCTAAGGGGAAAAATGTGGAGATGTAGATGAAATGATACGGATGAAGTTAAGGGCATAGAATGCAATGAGTCAGAAATTAAAGTTTTAGTTATCAGATCTATTTCTTAAGTGTGAAATTTGTTTTAAATCTTTTTTTTTTAATCTTGGTAAGATTTAAATCATTATTATTTTTTGCCTCTTCATGCCTTTGCCATCTGCTGGCAGAATAGAATAAAATATGCAAATTTGCTTCTCAGGAATATAGATTTTCAGTTCATTTGCAACTCAGGGTAAATTATACAACGATAGGTTAACTATGCAATTGGTTTCTTTTGTTTAATGTACGCATACAAGCACGGGTCATAATCCAGATAAAGACAGCCACACATGGCAGAGCTTAAAACCTTTGTACCCTGACAGTTTTCTTTGCAATATTACTGTCCCCACAGCATGGAATTTAAAAACAAGCAAAACAATCAAAATTCTGAAGGAGTGGATTTTGCAGAAAGGTCAATATAGAAAACTATTAAGGCCTTTTCCATGGATATTGTTTTCAATCCTACAGACACAACAGGATGAAGGGGAAAAAAGGAAGATGTATAGAGGAAAGAAATACGTATGGGATGTAGCTGTATACTACATAAATAAATAATGTAGTTTAGTTTCAGATTGCAGTACCGGGTGACTTCCAGAAAATGCTATCACGATAGGCAAAGACAGTCAGAAGATGAAAGCCTTGGGCAAGAACATTATCTCAAGACAGATTTCCAATATAGAAAATACATGAAAGATGTATTAACTACAATGTGAAAAGATAAAAATAACCAGAAAACAAAAATGAGCGATTAGAGAAATCACAGGAAATGTTATCGCTTAGATATGATTACTCAAAAGTACTCAGTCAAATCATCTATAGAGGAAACGAGGTTAGAGGAAGATTGTACCGAAACCCTTTACTAATGGGACTATAGAAAGACAGAAACATTTGAAGAGAAAATAGATTGAAGAACTGACTCCATTAGAAACGGAGGTATGACAGGTAATAGGTCAGCTGTCAAATAGGAAATCGCCAGGAACAGATGAAATACCAACTGAATTGTTTAAAGCTGAAGAAGCCATTAAAGTGTTAACAGTTTTATGTCCAACAACATGGAACAAGAGACCCAGTGTAGCGTAATGATTAAGGTGCTGGCCTAGAAACCAGGAGACTGTGAGTCCTAGGCCTCCCTTAGGCATGCAAGCTGCCTAGGTGACTTTGGGCCAGTCACTCTCTCTCAGCCCAGCCCACCTCACAGGGTTGTTGTGGGGAAAAGAGGAGGAGGAAGGTGTATTAGGTATGTTCATCACCTTGAGTTTATGTCCAACAACATGGAACAAGAGACCCAGTGTAGCGTAATGATTAAGGTGCTGGCCTAGAAACCAGGAGACTGTGAGTCCTAGGCCTCCCTTAGGCATGCAAGCTGCCTAGGTGACTTTGGGCCAGTCACTCTCTCTCAGCCCAGCCCACCTCACAGGGTTGTTGTGGGGAAAAGAGGAGGAGGAAGGTGTATTAGGTATGTTCATCACCTTGAGTTATATATCAGGATAAAAAAGATGGTATGATGCAGAAAGCAGAACAGATTGATGAGTGTGCCTGTGCAAACATCCAGGTTCCTGTCTTATATCTTAGTTTTAAAAGAACGACTCCTTATGTTGTGCTTACATATACCAGGAGCAACAGATTGCTATGGTCGTTTTATGAGGTGTCCCTTGGATCGATTAAGCTTCCCATACTCAGAAAAATAACTGGGAAGGGCTGAGTCCAACCTCCTATTCCCGAAAGCAAAAAAGGAGAAAGCTCTCTCCGAAGCGGGAAAGCGCAAAGTCCCCCAAGAGGAGCTTCCTGCTCCGCTCAATTAAAGCTGCGCTCTGCTCCCCTCCGCCTCCCAGGGGACTTGTTCGGCTTGAAACACGTCAGCTTGGCCCGCGCGAATCTCCTGTCGTCATCAGCACCCTTCCCACTACACCCGAACAAGAAAAGAGTTTCAATTCCCTTACAAGGTCATCAGGCGCACTCGCGCATGCGCTCCCAAGTTCTCCTTCCCAGTTTGGCCACACCCCGTCCCCTGGAATGCGGCGAGCAGGCCCGACTGTACCAAGTCAATAGCAAAAAACGGAGGGAAGTGTTGGACCAACCACTCCTTTCCCATTGGATTTTTGGATTCCAGCAAGTATCTAAACCTTACTGAAGGAGAAAATAAAGCGTCTACTCCCTGTCTGGCTTACCAAGCACTGGCTATTTTTTTTTCACTGACTGTATCGTCTAATTCTATTTTGTTCCCCACCTCCTCCTCTAGCGCGACGATAGTTTCTCCTGTTGTTGCGCTCTCCGGAAGTACCGGGGCCGTCCGTTTCCTTGGCTCGAGCGGCCGGTGGTCTTTTTTCGTGTTCCATCAGCGCCGAATTTCTTTCGTTAGAACCGAGGTGAGTAACCGGGAATGCTTTGGTTGGTGGACAGACTCGTTTGCGAGAGGGAACTGGAGTAAAAGACGCGAATGGGGAAGGCTGCAGTTTCCTGCGTGGATTCTCTCCCCTCGCCCCCTCCCGTTTTCTCGCTGTGGTATGAAGTTCAGCTTCGGCTACTTTTGAGCGGGGAGCAGGAGGCGCTGGGGAGGTCTCACCGGCCGGGCCTCGGAGGCTGCTGCCTTCTCTTGGCAGCACGTCGGGGCAGGGTGCGGCTGGCATGGCGGTGGCGGCTGGGGAAGGGCCTTGAGTCGAACAGGAAAAGGGGGTTGAACGGTCGCGGACGGTGCCCCCGCCGCCCGTGCCGGCCGTTGCCGACCTCCTGACCCTGCAAGCCTCTGCCTATCTCCTATCCTGATGGGGTTGTCCGGCAGGCGCTGACTCGTTGCGTACTTGGCCTCAGCGAAAGTGGGACACAGGTTGAGGATTCAGAATCTCGTTTTTTAATGCTTCGAAGTAACTTGGCTGGTCTTCGCCGGATGTATTGGGATACCGCCCCCATCATCCGTAGCCAGACAAAAGCTTGCTGGGTGTGACGGAAGTGATAATACTGGGTCTAGTAATACAGACTAGAAGAGGCCTGGAAATAAAGAACAGGAGGGAAAAGGGCACTTTTATCATCTTAAGTATCTACGTAGGCAGCTCTGCACTTCGTAATTTTGGATTGTCGGGAAACGGTTGTACTTGACGAATCTGTGTAAGTCACTTTTTGTATATAGATTAGAAGTTTATAGGAGAATTTCCTGAACCAAATACTTTCAGAGTACTTTGACTGCCAGTGGAAAGTAGATTTAGTGCTGCTGCTGTTCTGCTTGACTGTATTTCCAAACAAATGGTATTGTGTAATTGGTGGTTTCCTCAAACATCTTACTATAAGATTGTGCAGATTTTTTTTTTCCTATCAAGAAGCTACATCTCTGCTTTGGTAGATTTGTCAAATGCATCCAAAAGATCTGATTCACAAAACATCAAGCCACAATGTTAATTTAGTCAAGCTATAGTTAAACAAATCTGTGTTGTAGTACAGTGTGTGAACTCAACCAAAATGTTGCATTTTAGGCGACTTACCAAACACACCAATGTAGTGCAGCACCTACAATGTCAGAGGAGATCCACATTCAATTACAGGTAGTCCTCGGTTAATGACTGCCATGTTTGGCGACTGTTCGAACTTACGATGGTGCTGAAAAAGTAGGTTTACAGCCCTTGAACTGAAGATGGTCACAGCATCCACGTGATCACGATTTGGGCACTTGGCAACTGGTGTGCATTTGCAACACTTGCAGCATCTGTGGTCACATGATCACCATTTGCAGCCTTTACATCCAGCTTCTGACAAAGTCAGTGGGGCCGGCAGGAAGTCCCAAGTTCTGATCACATGACATCACGCTTAATGACCACAGGCAACTTGCTTAATGATCATAGTGGAACTGACGTAAATTGGATGAGGTCATGTGATGTTTCATTTAATATCCACATCACTTAGCGACGGAGTTGCCAGTCCCAATTGTGGTATTTAAATGAGGACTATCTATTTAATTTAGTAGTAAAACTTTCTGGGTGGTTTTGGCTGCATCCTTACACAGATCTTTTAAAGAAGAGTGAAAGTAGAAGAGAAGTTTGTATACTGCCTTGATTTTGTTAATTGGAATTAACATCCCAACACATTTAGTGGGCATTAGGTGGGAGAAAAACTACCCTATAAAATGCTACATAAGTTTGATTGTGTGCAGCATTATGTACAGCTACTTTTATGAAGGGTGTTTCTGTGATCTACTCTTTTATGGAATGAATAGCCAATGACATTTGGGAATTTGATTTGTTCCAAAAGTGAAGACCTAAAATATGATTTCTGTAAATAGAAAATCAGTCAAATTTGGAGTATATGTGTTTCCTTCTATCACTGTGCAATATGAAGAGTAGATGTAACTTCCCCATTCGTATGGACATACATGTGCAGTAAGTATGTTAATAGGTACAAAGCAAGAGCAGAATAATTATAAAATGATTTGTATTAGAACACATAAAATGTAGGACAAGAAAGAGTTCATTATTTCTATGTGAAATTAGCTGAAAAAAATAAGGCTGGAGAACCTTGGACTCTGAAAATGTGTTGAGGGTGCTGAGGAATTTGAAATATTTTCCCAGCCCTTTTAGTTCAGTCCACTTAGCACATTCCAAAGGAAGCCATGTTAAAGAAGATTTACACTATGCTTGTTTCCAGTTGCAGTATTGATTGCTATGCCAAACCCAATTCTAAAAACAAAACTTTCATATAAAATAGGTTACCTCTGTAAAACCTGTTATTAAATTCATTATAGTGAATGCATAATCTGGAAAGATAGTAGATGGTTATATACCCCCTTCACTCTGGAAAATAAAGTTTGAAGTGAATATAGGATATTTGGGTTTTGTGGTGTTGTTTCATGCTACCATGCAGCACATTTTGGGGAGAATGCTCATCTTGAAATGATCACTTTTAATGTTCATAAACTTATCTAATCTCAGAAGTTCTTATGTTTTAAAATATGCAAAGTGTAACACGACTTGTGTGAAATAAAATTTTGTGAATATCTGTCCAAAGTCATTAGTGCTTCTCTCCTGTGCCACCACTTTGAAAAGGGAAGCTTTTTTCTGATGGGTCGCTTAGAAGTGTTTTTTACCAAGTTCCAAACAGAACAAATTGTAAGCACCAGGTCAATGGAATAAAAGGCAGTGAGTGTAAAAGTGTTTTGTACTTTGGCAGCCAGGTGCAGTTCACATTTTATTAGTTTTTGATAGGAGTAATAAATATTAATCTATCTCTTCTCTTTAAGTGCAAGGCCTATATAACTGAAGCGTAACCTCTCATACACTAGATGGAGGTATTAGCAGATTCTGGGAGTCCCAGAGTCCAAAGTTAAAAAAAGAAAAAAGAACTCACTGAAGATTTAAGTGTGCTTAATAGGCTTAAAATGCTGGCCATTTTCAGGGAGGAGGAATCAGAAAACCAGATGGTAAAAATAGTATCATTTTATTGTAAGCCCCACTTTTATAAATTATATTTCAATGCTTTTGACTCTAGGTAGCTGAAAGGATGCTGTTTGCTCACAAGAGGAAGGTATCAGCATTGCCCATGGAATCTGGGAGTTTTCAGAAACACAAAATAACTTAAAAAGGAAATGTTGAGGGGAAAGGATATCACCAAAAGAGGCCAGTGAGGACTGAGCATGCTCATTTGGTATAGGTATAAGCTGGACTGATTAGAAGAAAGCAAAAAAAAAAAAAGGTGGTGGTGACTGGATGAATTTAATTTCATAGTCTAGAATCCTGAATAGGAGTACACTGCATTGCATTTACCTTCTAGAATTATGTTAATTTACAATTAATTAAAATATTTGATTTACAGGAACGGCTTTTCCCCCTTTGGCTATTAATAGATTAAGATAAATTTTACATCTTGTAAGATATTTCAGTACATCCTTAGTTCTAAAGTGACTGTGTTTAATTCAATTTGTGTTACTTCAAGCAGTAAAAACAAGTGTACAAAAAGGAACCTTAAGAAAAATGTTCCTTAAGATTGTATATGAAAAGAAAGGAATGTTTATTTTTGTCTTCTGCCAGCTTTCTAATTTTAATTAATTAAAATAGTCTTAATTATTTGAAGATAATCTAAAGTCATAAATTTCTAAGATTAAATTTATCTTAATTATGGTAACTAGGCTTTACATTTACATTTATGTTGAAAAAGAATATTAATGATTTTCTAGCATGCTATTTGTAGTTCTGTATAGTTTGGTTGTTCATGATAATTTTTAATATTTTTTTAAAAAACTTCTGAATGATTTTTTTTTTTTTGAAGGTGGGGAGATAGTCCAGAGATTGGAGTTTAGCATGTGAACTAGTCTCCAGTGTCAGTTCTTGCAATAAAATCCATTGCAGTAATTTCTAAATTATTTTTTTCATGTCAGTTTTTCTCATTTACTCTGGCCCTTAGTTAGGAAACTTGACATAACAATTTTTCCTCTATGCAGCATAAGTTACTGTACGGTGTTGAATAAATAATATTTTATCTAAATAAAATAATCAGTCTTTAGGATAATTGGAGCAGTATTTGTATACAATTACACTTGGAAAGAGCTATATATCTATATATCTATCTTACATGTCCCCTCTGAAATACAGCTTTCTGTATTTCTGTTCTGTTCCATACAGAAATACAGAAAGCTGTATTTCTGTATGGAAAATTATGGATCTTTTTAATTCTAGTAACTTTAACTTCGATCACTTAATATCTGAAAGAAAATTGAAGATACCTTAATAGAAGATTCCAAACATTATACTTATTGGACTATTCTGGCTGTGGGGTAATGAATGTTTGTTGGGTGACTTGTGCATGGATTTATTTTTAGTCTGACAGTAATTTGTGTTCTTATATGTCATAGCACTGTTGTAATAGATGGAACACAAGTTTAAAATTGTGAAGTTAATCAGTGGATGAAATCAGGGTTACCTATTTATAGATCTTCCCTTTCAATATAACCAGCACACAGCATCTTTTCCTGCTGTCTGGAACTTTGGCTAAACTATTGGGCTGTAATCTATTGAAATATGGTAAGGTTTTTCTCTGGTATCAGGAAAGTTGTGAGCCATTCTAAGTATTTGTGTATAATTGTTTACAACAAAAAGGATCTTTATAATTCAGTTTTATAATTTTTTTAAAATACTATGATGATTTTTCATAGACATTAGAAAATGAGTGTAACTTCATCTGAAGCTACATGAAAGCAGTTCCTTACCAAGGAGTCAATTGTAGGAATAAAATCATTGGCTGATTTCAGGATAATATAAAAACATGTATTACCAGAGTAGTAATTTGTACTTGGAAATTGTTTGTAAGAGTTGATATAGAAGTCATAACATTTGAACTTTACATTGCTTGAGTTAAAGAATATCCTGTCTATCCAAATATTAATGACTTTTTGAGAAATGGTGAAGTTGTTTTGCCAAATTTAATAATAATGTTCCTGTAGTATTAGCAGTTTTGTTATTACCATGAAAGTTTGATTGTCATTTAATTAAAGGACACTTATGTCTTGGGATAAATTAGAAATTGAAATTGAAAAAAAGAAGTTGAAGCACAATGCCTTAATTACAATTCTAATTTTCAAATAGTTATGCTGTAAAATATCATTTTAATAAAGTTTAGTAGGGAATATCTTTATTATTTATTTTTAATTATGAAGGATACTATCACAAACTCCCCCAAATTAATATAAAATCGAGATATGTGGTTTCAAAAAGTGTTTTAATTTTTAAATAACTTTTAATACTTATTTGCTAATTCAGTTAGAAATTCAGCATTGTTTGATTCAACAGCAAATAAATCAATACATATTTTTAGGGGCCAGTTAAAAAATGGTTGATCTTCACTTATGAGTTTGTTTTCAGGTGAAGGGTCTGCATTCCCAAATCTTCTACATGTGTTATGAACTATCAGGTCTGATAAATTGCACCCTCTCATCCTACTTTCTCCCTAAAATGTAAATAAAAGGAGAATGTTACAGAGTACAAGCTTCTATGAAGTTCAGGGACTAACATGTCAGCAGACAGAATTATGTAGCAGCTCAGTGTGTGAAGGAACAGTGGTTACTGAGCCTCTCCCAAGAGTATAAAGAATGACTGACATTAACAGAAGCAAGCGTGTGTTATCCCTTATTTTAAAGTAATAAATATGCTCTTTAAAACAATGGCTTGAATTTTTAAACGTGGCTAATTAAATGCTACCTTATGAATATCTTAGAAGAGCAAAATTTAAATTTCATTTTTTTATCTTTGACATAGCATACTGGTTTTTTCTTCACACTATCTGTTGCTATTTTTATTTTTTCCTAGGATGCTTTATAGTGAAGATTTCTCTGTTTAGAACAAATTGTAATTGTGGTGATGATGAATTCTTAAATTCAGCTAAGTAGCCTTGAAGATAGATTGTTGCTTCCTTTTCTGTAGTGTTCCCTTATTCCTTTTCTGTACTGTTCCCTTACACCAATGTTTTTTTTTCCTCCTAGAATCTAGCAACCAACATGTCAAGCAAAAGGGCAAAGACAAAGACCACTAAGAAGCGCCCTCAGCGGGCTACTTCCAATGTATTTGCTATGTTTGATCAGTCACAGATTCAAGAATTCAAAGAGGCATTCAACATGATTGATCAAAACAGAGATGGTTTCATTGACAAAGAAGATCTGCATGATATGCTTGCTTCACTTGGTAATCACTTTTTCCATTTTATTTCAGCTATGTTTCTTCTAGCTAATTTGCTTCCCAGATAAAGCATGAGGACTTTTTATTTAATACTTTAGAGCTGTGTCATAAAATAAAACCCTCTAACTATTGATGTAGCTCAATTTTAAATGTTAATGTTTGTAGGGAAAAATCCAACTGATGAATATCTAGATGCCATGATGAATGAGGCTCCAGGACCCATAAACTTCACTATGTTTCTCACAATGTTTGGAGAAAAATTAAATGGCACTGATCCAGAAGATGTAATCAGGAATGCCTTTGCTTGTTTTGATGAAGAAGCAACAGGTAAGAAGCTACAGTATCACAAATTATTTCTTAGCTTTTGACTTTGATTACCTAGTCTTGGTTAGTTATGTTTAAAATTATATACAAGTTTGAGACAAATGAATGAAAAACCTTCCAGACACCATGGCAAAATTTTTGAAATCACAAAAAATGAGATCATTTTTGCAAACAAATGGTTTTGTAGGGCTGATTCTCAAAATGGATACTATTCTTGATTAGGGAAGAAATAGATTGGCTTGATTTGGGTTTAGCATTAAAGTCCAAACTGGGATCCCTGGCCTATTGTTTTCTCACCCAGTCAGAATTGGAAATTTTTGGTCCTTGCTTCTCTGATATGTTCATGGCTTGGTAGCGATAGCACAGCATCATTCACATTTTACTTTATTTCCAGTAGCCTGGGTCATGTACTGAAATAGTTTTATTTAGGACCTTAGTAATAACTTTAATTTAGTAACAGCCATAACTGACATAATTGTAGTCTGTGAGACTTCCTACTTCTATACATGCAAATAGTGATTTTGAATCTGCAAAGTTTATTTAAAGTGGAAAAAGTTGCACAATTATTTAGTACTAATTGCATTTGCTAGAGAACTACAAACATTTTGTTTGTTCATGTAATTAGTTTATTTTCTATGGTATAAATAATTGTTGAAGTTTATAGCACTTTCAATAAAGCCCTTTGATTAATTTTGCAATTTTTTTGCATAAAGTATGTTATACTAAAATTTCTTGTATTAAAATTTTCTCCTAATTTTTTTTCATATTTCTAGGCTTCATTCAAGAAGATTACTTGAGAGAATTGCTAACAACAATGGGAGACAGGTTTACAGACGAAGAAGTCGATGAGCTGTTTAGAGAGGCACCAATTGATAAAAAGGGCAATTTCAATTATATTGAGTTCACACGCATCCTGAAACATGGAGCAAAAGACAAAGATGACTAAAACAGAACTCTTGCCTCTGCATTGCTCTTTAGATCTCATGGTTATCTTCAAGGGGGATTTTTCCTGGTAGAACCTGTTGCATGCAGCTAGCTTTACAGCTTTTATCTATCTTGATGTATTTATCTATACCAGGCCATTCTGGCACATCTTGCACCTGTGTAATAAGGCCAGCAATGGGAATTGTAATTACGGTGAATTTGGAGGGTAAGACCAATGAGTTTGAAGGCCCAGGGAAAATAGTCTCTGTTTTTCTGGTTTAGCTGGATTTTTACATTTTGTAATAATGCCATTTTGAAATAAGATTGCTATATCAATAAAATACCTCAAATGCTAGATTGTGAAGTGTAAGATTTTATTAAGAGTTGACAATCCAAATTTCATGCTTTCTATAAAAAAGAATAGGAAGGTATATTAAGCTTATGAAACATTAATGTCATATCAGCATTTCATATAGATTCAACTGTATAATATGATAAAATTCTACATTTTTTGCAGGGTGAACATATCCTGCACACACACTTTGGATTAGTTGAAAGGACCATGGCATTAGTATCTTCACACTTGCTAGTGTCTTCCATGGATCTCTAGTTTTTTACCTACCCTTGTGAAATTCATTATATCCTTCTTAAGATTTATTTGACATTGGTGAGAACTGATAGAAGAAGATCATGCTATTCTGGACTCACGAACACAATACAGTTTCTCTTAGTGTGTCATTGGACAATAGGGACAGAAAAAATGGTCTAGTTGTTCAGGAAAGCACAATGCTTTGTTTCCTTCCCTAGTCATCACTGCTTCTATTGCACTGCTCTCCTGTCTCCTTTCCAGTATCAGCAATAGCTCCTCCAAGCTACTGCTTTTAATAATTTGGGTGTGTGCTGATGTCCAGCTAGGAATGGAGAAGCACCATTGTCTATGTTGTTTTATAACTTGCTTTAGAGTACTGTTCCTACCCAGCTAGAGTAATGCACACAAAAGTAATTTCCATTTTTTCTAAAGACCAGTATCCATTTCACTGGAAGCCTGGAACGCCAATATTTGCCCACCATTTTAGGCACCAGTGTTGGCTATAAGTTGGCTAGAAATCACAACATCTCAAATATGTAAGTTTATTGACAAATTGAAAGAATGTACATTTGAAAATAAGTGATATACTGGTTCTTCTCATTTCTCATACTTGCCCTAGCTGAGTGTATCTTGGGTAATTATAGGACCCTTATGCTGAAAAATGCAGTGTGAATTTGTGGGACATTGCAGCTATAAACTCCAAAATAATGGTTAAAGTGATTGGACTAGTGGTTAAGGTGTTAGGGTAGAAATGGGGAGACCTAGATTTTAGTCTCCCGTTGGCCATGGAAACTAGGTAACATTTGGCCAGTTATTCTCTCAGCCCAGCCAACCTCCCATGATCACTGAAGAGAAAAATAGGAAGAAGGAAGCATCACGCACAGAGTTGTCATCTCTCCTCAAATTAGAATAATACTGTCAGTTATGCTATCACTGGCCACCCTAACCTGAAGGTGACAGATCCTTTACTGCTTTTTCCACTCAGGTTGTCAATCTCTTAAAAGTTTTTAAAATACAGAAAAGCTAGTGTGAAGCATAGAATTAAATCCTGGATTTCAAGACTTTATCTCACTATTTTTAAACCTGATAAATAAGGTACACTCGGCTTAAAATCAGATCCAGCCACACTGAAGCAGCTAAATTTGGTTGTAAGTTATCTCTCTGATTACTAGATGTGGAGCGATGAAGAAAAAGGTTCTAATTAAACTTTTGCTCTGAAACTCTTACTGTTGAGTTTTTCCCCTCCTCATGTATAGAGATGGTTTATATGTAAAGCATTGCATTGTGTTTTAAGAACAGTGAGCCATATTGTGGCACATTTAAGATTAACACAATTATTTGGTCATAAATTCTTGCTGGTCAGATCCTAATTTGAGAGTCGCATGATGTAATAGCAGACATCAATCAATACACAGATGCACCCATGTATACACAGAAGGCACAAATGAAACTAATTTACAAAGGTCATAATTTGGCATTTGTAGTGCACCTTTTCAGGCCATCCAGATGAGGAACTGATGTTACCCTTATAGTTGTAACCAATCCTGCTTTGGGCTTGAAGATTTCGTGTTATTCTGATATCCCCTTCAAGTTTTAATGACACTTCAGTTAAATTTATTTTATAAAATCAAAGCATGAGATCAATTAACAGTTATTAGACATAATACCTAAAGGGAAATTCTTCAGAGGCAGTATGTTTCTGAACACCAAATGCAACATGGATTAAGAGAAAGCAATCATTTTTCTTTCCAATCAGCTTCCCCAGAATTTTGAGTGCACATAGGAAAGACAACATTTGAATACATGAAATGTATCAAACGTGCCCAGGGGCATTTACAGCCAATCTTATTTCCTAAAGCCATGGGTATTTTTTGGTGCCATTACAAGCCTCTTTTAAAGCTTCATTTCCATGCAGGGGATAATTTTCAAGAGTGGGAACAGAACTGCAGCTGAGAAAGATCCATTTTGAGAGGTTTTATGGAAATTGCAGCATGTGGGAAGAATCTATCACAGAGGATTGGAACCACCTAAGCTAAATGTAGTGCTGTCACTTCAGATCTTTCTGGTCAACACAGGAAAGCTACAATAGCACGCCAGGCAAGTGGGGCAGAGCTGAAGTGCATGTCTCTACCCTTCATGTTTACAGTTTTGTAACAAAAATTTGAAGTGGGCTATTGCCACTCAGGAGTGTCAGACAGGGAAACAAAGTGCCTCAAAATGATATGCTTCATGGCAATTGAATTGGGTGGATTGTCTCTGCTCAAGAGATGTTTCAGGAAAGGACTCTGCTGTTTTGTTGAAAAAACAGCATATTCCCCCACATATATAATTCCTTCCAAAATGGATCAAATCTGAATCCAAAATATGTTAATATGTCATACAGCTACTCATAATTTGAGAGTGAAAATGAGGCCCAAATGACAGAAATCTCAGCAATGCTCTATTCAATTTCCCTCGAAATTGAAATTTCCTTACAGTTAGTATGTGTAAGAATGGCTGTCTTCCTGGTTTGTCTGGAAGTCCATCTACATTGGGCATGAGGTATAACCTTTTAAGCAGCCTGCTTCCTTATAGCCTGCTATACCTCCCATAATTCCCAACAAGTTAGGTGAGAGTTCTGGGAGATGTGGTTGAACATATCTGACAGCCAGTAGGCATTGTAGGTGATAAGCTGGCATATTCACAAACAAAGACTAACTTTTACAGGCTTGATAATCTGCAATCATTAGCTATCATCAACCAGACAAAGGAAAACACATAATGTGGACATACTGGCATTGTAATTCCCTTACAGCTTCCATTCAATATGGTTAGGCAAGTCAGGCCCTGACAACAGAGTGGGCAGACAAGTTGTGTAGGCATGCATGAAGGATTACATATGAATAGGCTGACTGACAGAGTAAAGAAAAGTTATTTTTGAAAAGGAAATGCATGCTTGTCAGCACAAGTTATGACAGTCTGTCTTTGGATTAAAGACTGTTAGTTTAAGTAGAGTTTATTCACCAATTGGAATCATTCCACCAGGTGGCACTGTATAAATACAGTGATGTCAGGCTTAAGATTCCTGTGCCATCACTGTCATCAAAGCAGGCCTTATATTGTATCATTACATTTCTCACACATTTACCACCTTCATTGTTTCTAATATCAACTAAAGAACTGCTTGAAATAACAAGAAAAGAGACACTTCTTAACCTGAATACTGACCACATCCGTCAGCATTAATGTATGCATTCCCTAGGCAGCTGTGAAAAATAATTTGGATCCATTAGTCTGAGGTGAGACATCCTAATTGGTCAACTATCCTTCAAGCTATATGAGGAGCATTACCCTTAGCCTTTACTAAATATATGCATTATTGAGAAGAGTATACCATAATACATGCTGGGTTTAGTTTCACCCAGCAGAAATGTTTATTTATTCGTTTCTATATCTGAAGGCTCTTGGCCAAAACACTGTAGGTGGGAAAATAACATATAAAGATTCCTTATTATCCAGGAATATTTTGCTAGACATGTGTAAAAAAGCTCATAATCTCTGTAAATTACACGTTTTATACCAAATATAATTTATTTCTGTAAATATCTTCCAGTAATCTCAGTTCCATTATACTTGTAGGATTCTGATACAATAATAAATGTAATTTATAAAAAAATCCATAAATATCAATAAAAGTATACTCTGATAAAAAAATACGATATAGCCAAATTTAGGACACGTGTAAAAAAGGTAGAGAGCTTTGATTGCATTGTTGATCTTGACTTTTTAACCTCCTCATTGCAGATGCCTGTGCTTTAAATATGCTGGACTTGTGGATTTAGGCCTTAAAAATTGTAGTATCTACATTTATTATAGACATCTTGAACAATTTCTACTCATAAATATCATTGAATTTCCTGCCCTTGGGTAAGTCTAGAGCTTTTGGATTTTATCTGGAACATAAGCACTGTGAGGATAAAAGGTATACCAAAATAGCATTCAGTTTCCTGAAGCATTTGGATTTTAAGGTATTTTCCTACATAATGGAAATAAATCACAATAAACGCATATGTAGATTTCTCCCATCTTGAAAGAGAATCAGGACTCCGTTCGTAATTCCAAATTCAGTGGAATTTAATTTTGAGTAGGCTAAAAATCTATAATCCTGAGGCTTCCAGGACAGACAGCACAGTTGTCAACCACTCCTGAATCCCATCACTTTTATTTTTAGAACGTTGGCATCTTATGTCTGATCCAGATTTCCATTAAAACAAAACAAAACAAAAAACAAAACACGACTGTTCCATATTGTACTGATGGGCAAAGTATCTCAAATAGATGGCGTGCCTTTTTCATTAAGAGGACTGTTTCCACCTGTTAGGCTACTATGCTGTGCTGTTCTGGATGCAATTCTTTTGACTGGCAGTCGTTTAGTTAAGCATTGCGCCGCATAAAATCCATTAAAAGAATCGAGAGGAAAGAACGACCCGAAGCAAGTCCCCCATCACGTCCTCTCAGCTCTTTCCAGCAAAGCGCCTCCTCGCGAGTTTACAGACCAGTAGCCTTTGGGCTTACTTGGCTGTCGTGCCGTGCCTAATGCACACTGGCCCTTTTGCCTTCAGACATACTTCCAAGTGTCGGTGGCAGGGAAATGTTTTCTCAAACCAGAAGGGTACAGTTCCAAACGTGTGCGCGTGTACGACACAACTACGTTGCCTGGGGAGAGACAGGCTGCGTAACGTCCAACGGCGGGCCAGACCCGAGCGAAGGGAAGCACCGCACTCAAGCTACGTCCCGCCCACATTGGGGGCAACGGGTCTGTGTCAGCCAAGAGGCGATCCTCTGCTTTCCGAACAAGGAAGTGAGCCGCCCAGAAAGGTAGGAAAGCCAGACGAACAGGGATTTCCTCCAAAGGGCGCCGCGTCCTC